AAAAAGAAATCTCATTATACCCATTAGCAGTCACTCTCCATTTCCCCCCACCAACCGCCAGTCCTAGGAAGACACTAATCAACTTTTTGTCTCTATAGATTTTCCTACTCAGGACATTTTATATAAATGGAATCATACCATGTACCCTCTTTGAACTGGATTCTTTCCCTTAGCATGTTTTCAAGGCTCATCTGTGTGGTAGCATGCATCAACACTTCATTCCTTTTCATGGCTCAATAATATTGCATTGAATGGATGGACAACATTTTATCCATTCATCACTTGATGGACATTTGGGTTGTTTCCATTTTTTAACTTTTATGAATAATGCTGCTAGGAACATTCAAATACAAGTATTTGTTTGAATACCTGTTTTCAATTCTTTGGTTGTATATTAAGAGTGGAATCATTGTGGGGGGGCAATGGGGTGATAAGGACACATATGTAATACCTTAATCAACAAAAAAAAATTTTTAAAAAAGAGTGGAATCATTGGATCATAGTCTCTGTTCATATTCTATGTTTAACTTGAGGGACTGTACTATTTTCCCCAGAGACTGCAATATTTTATATTCCCACCAGCATTGTACAAGGATTCTAGTTGCTCCACATCCCCACTACTACTAGATTCTTTTTCCTTTTTATGTTATTACTAGAGGCCTGGTGCATGAAATTTGTGCACTGGGGGGGGGGGTCCCTCAGCCTGGCCTGCGCCCTCTTGCAGTCCAGGACCCCTTGGGGGATGTCTGACTGCCAGCGTAGGCCCTATCCCTGCAGTCAGCCATCCCTCTCACAGTCCAGGACCCCTCGGGGAATGTAGCAGTGTGCCAAGCACGATCGGGACTGGGGAGGAATGTGGGAGGCTAGCCAGTCTGGAAGAGACTGTGGGAGGGCTCCAGGGCATATCCGGCCTGTCTCACTCAGTCCCGATTGGCTGGACCCCAGCAGCAAGCTAACCTACCGGTCGGATCATTTACCCCCTGGTGGTCAGTGCACATCATAGTGAGCGGTTGAGCAGCCTTAGCATATCATTAGCATATTATGCTTTGATTGATCGACCAGACACTTAGCATATTAGGCTTTTATTATATAGGATAGCCATGCTAGTGGAAGTGAAGTGGTATCACATTATGGTTTTGATTTATATTTTCCTGATGGTTAATGATGCAGAGAATCTTTTGATGTGCTTATTGGTAAACTTTATTTGGAGAAATGTCTATTTAGATCTTTTGCACATTTTAAACTTTTTTTTAACTTTTTATCTTTGAGTTGTAATAGTTCCTTATATATTTTGAATACTAAGTTCTTATGAGATGTGATTTGCAAATATTTTCTCACATTAGGTTTTCTTTTTACTTTCCTGATGATATTGCTTGAAGCACAAAATATTTTTTAAATTAGATTTATCTAATGTTTTCTCCAGTTGCTTTGCACTTTTGAAATCCTAAGAAACCATTGCCAAATCCAAGGTCACAATGGTTTTCACCTATGTTTCCTATTAAGAATTTTACAGTTTTAGCTCTTACATTTGGGTCTTTAATCCATTTTTAAATTTTTGTATGTAGTGTGAGGTAGGGGTTGAAATTCATTCCTTTATATGTGAATACCATTTATTTAAAAGACTATTCTTTCCCCACTTGAATGATATTGGCACCCTTATTAAAAATCAATTGGCCATAGATATATGGGTTTATTTCTAAACTCTCAGTTTTATCTCATTGGTCTGTCCTGTTTTTATTTTTTAGATATATTTTTATTGATTCCAGAGAAGAAGGGAGAGGGAGAGATAGAAACATCAATGATGAGAGAGAATCATTCATTGGCTGCCTCCTGCACATCCCACACTGGGGATCAAACCTGCAACCCAGACATGTGCCCTGACGGGGAATTGAACAGTTACCTCCTGGTTCATAGGTTTATGCTCAATCACTGAGCCATGCCGGCCAGATATGTTCTGTTTTTAAGCCAGTACCACACTGTGTTGGTTACTAGAGCTTTATACTAAATTTTAAATTGAGAAGTCTGAGTCCTCCATCATTTGTTTTTCCATTTATTTATGCATTTATTGGTTGATTCTTGCATATGCCCTGACTGGGAATCAAACCCTCAACCTTGACATATTGGATGACACTCTAGCCAACTGAGCTACCTGGCCAGGGCTGAATGCTTTTACTTTTTCTTGCCTAAATTCCCTGGCTAGAACTTCTAGTACAATGATGAATAGAAATAGCACAAGCAGGCATCCTTGTCTTGTTCCTGAATTTAGGGGGAAAGCATCTTTCATTGTATTAGCTGTGGGTTTTCCTTAGCTCTCTGTATCAGGTTGATTAAGTTCCCATCTAGTCTGTTTTCTGAGTGTTTTTATAAAGAAAGGGTACTGGATTTAATCAAATGCTTTTTATATATCCATTGAGATGATGTGGGTTTTTTCCCCCTTTATGAATATGGTGCCCCAGCTTCTTTTTTAAGTTAAAATCTTAAAAGGATGCTCAAGATAAAAAAAAACACAGTGAGGGTCTGCTCTGGGTGAAGCAGGAAGGGAAGTCTGCAGTTGCAATTCCTTCCCAAGTAGCCCTGGGCCCCACAGGAAACTAAGCCAGGGCCCAAGAGCAGCAAGAGGACCCTAAGGCCCTCTCATCCAAAACTCCTTGTTGAGCTGGCTCTGTCAGCCAACTAAGCCCCAACCCTTGGCCTTAGGAAGCCCTGGTTGGCAGGGCTGGCTGATTACAAGTACACAGTCACTTTGGCATCCTGCAAATTGCAGTTGCCCTGGCATAGAGCTCCAGAGCCAACTCCTCCCTCTACCCCTCTGTCTGAAGGGTTGATCTGGGGGCTTTGGAGTCCTTAACACTTGCCCTTTTTGATGTTATCTTTCCATTAAATGTTAGTCAGTCTGGATCTGTGGTTACAGCAAAGCTTGTACTTCTAAAACCTTGATTATAATCAACCCAAAATACAGAGATTCAGTATCTGAAACAGATTGCAGACAGCCCACTGATTACTTTTGGGGATGACTGATTAAGAAACTTTATTACAGTAAACGAATGCATCTAATGTCCCCCAAATACATTTGTGACAAGAAAGACACACAGGAGACATAGACAATAGTTGCTACATCACAGCCATATTCTTTCCAAAGGATAAAACACTATTCAAGAAAGGGTGAGGAGGTTAGAAGAGAGAGGTGGTTAAAGAAAGCAGGTACTGTCCTTTAGATTAAAAACACACACACACATAGGTTGGCATTGCAAGAGCACCTACTGTGGGCCCAGAAATAAAGTAAAGCCTAAGCCTTAGGTGGTGACACTATGCCACTTGTCACACCTCAGAGGCTACAGAGCATCATTCCATCAAGACAAGCAATCTTGTGATAGGGTGAATAGTAGTCTTGCTGCAAGCAGCGAGTGGATCAAGTGGCCTTAAGTTTCTTTAGAATTAAATATCTGCTTAATCAGAGATCACTTACCAGCTTCCCTACTTCTGTTTAGTTACTGTGGGAGCACAAAAGAACGTCACCCCCTTCCATAGTTGGCATGTCTATTTACAACCAGATAGAGGTGCACCCCTTCGCAGAAATCTCTCCTTTGTGCCAAGTTGAGCATTTTCATATGTGACGAGGTTGCCCACAGCTCTAATCTTAGCATGGCACATTGTGTTGGGGCAGCAGCAGCTTAAGACTACAATGCCAAGTGACGGCTGAAGGAAAGTAACAAGGGCATGGCTGAAGCAGGAGGGGCAATCCTGGAACAAGTACCTCCAGGCAAAGCTCAGGACCAAAGAGATTTTTAATTAGTGGTCATTTTCTAGAAGAACTAGAAAAACACATTTAGGACAAACAGTTCTGAAATGAGAAGGAATGGCTATAAATATAGAGATCAGTGATCAGGCCAGTGATCATTACCATAACTTGTACCCACCCAGAACCTGACAGGGTGGGGAGGACACTGTCTGCAGACATGCAAGGTTCCAAATAGTCAATTTTAAGAAAAAAAAAATCTGCTTTCTCCTGAGTAAGCATGAAAACATGTCATTAAAACACTCCCGAGTGCTTCCCAGGCCTCAAACATACATATGAGTGTCAATGCTAGGCATTAGCGACACTCACTCATAACACAGTACCCCTCATTACTGCCAACAGTTAAGATGTATGTACACATCGGCCCTCAAAATACTTATATTTAGTATCACCATTTTGCCACTGTGGCCATCACCCCTCACCCCAACTTGGACAAATATCACACCATCCACCAACATGAAATAATCACTGAATCACAAACCAAGCTTCTTCAAGAATATTTAACAACAATCCATGTTGCCAATGAATGAGCTCACATCATGTTTAGGTCATTCTACTTTACATCTGATGCATTTAGTGCTTAGAAACAACTGATTCCATCAGCCTGCCTTGCAGGTGCCCCAACACAGCCTGCCAACAGGAGCTCCAGCAAATTTCCTTGGGGTGTATGGCTTCTTGAAGTAGTGTGGGGAGGAATTGATACTGCTCCCCACCCCCCACCCCATCCCTGGGGACCAAAAGAGAAGTGGCAGCTTAAGATCTCAATTGTTGAGAACAAATGTCGGGGGGGGGGGGGAATAAAGCCTGAATGTTTGATACACCATACATACCCTCAGGAAGGTATTTTTGCTGTTTAGCAATTAATTTGGCCCCACAATGTAAGGGGTGGGGCAGGAGGCAAAAAAAATATATAGTTTTAAACCTCATAGGTAGTAGTCAGCCTCAATCCTAACCACCCACCTTCCTACACCTCTAAAGGCTGCTAAACCTTGCCTGTGTCATCTTAGCTCCTACATTCAATAGTTCAGACTTCATCTTGATGCCATTCAGACACAAACAAAATCATGCAGTAACTTCAAGTAGCTCTCTTCAACTCGCCCTAAATTACCAGATTTACAGGGAGGCTAGTCATCAAATACAGTAGAGTGGGGTGTTTTGCCATTAAGACTGCTAGGAGTCAGAAATTTAGAGTGTTATAATAGAGAACAGCTTAAAAAATGTAATACTGTTTTTATTTAACTTCAAAAACATTTCAGCATTCTAAACATACAAAAATTAACAAAACGTTGCAAATTGTGTTTAGTACAGAAGGTTCTTGAACTTTCATTGATGCAGTGACTCTTCACTTCGTTGACAATGAAGAGTTGTAGTTTGTTTTAAAACAAAGTTTAAAACTACCACACAACTAAAAAAAAAAAAAAACGATCCAAATACTTCTCATGCCAGCTGACCCACCTTTTTCCACAGCTAAGAATGGCGGGATGCTATGTCACTATATACAGAAACAAGACAACCTGAAGCTAAATGGATGCCCACTGCAGTGTCCACAGGTCCAGCCTCACAGTGCATGCCCTGAGCTACAGCCCCTCCAAAAGGCATCTTCCTCACAGCCTCAACGCCAAGCAAAGAGCATCAAGAGCTTGTCTTGGTTGTTTGTTCTTTTTACAAACTATAGATATGTACAGTTGAGAACTCAGGATTTCTAGCCAATAACCAAATAGGTAACACCACCTGACAGATTAAAAAAAAGAAAATGCCAGAAACATCTTTAAATGCCTTGTCACACCAACAGCAAAGTGCACAGAGTGAGGAGAACACGAGAGCCTTTTCATTTTAAAAATGTTTGGAAATATGTACAACTTTGATACAGTTTCTGGGTGCTCCGGACACCCATGGCCACTTCATGTAAACCACTGACAATTTCTAGAGCACTTTGAGAGACTACATATGATCATGACCCAATTGTGTAATTAATCCTAATGAGGGCAACAGACACCTCTCAAATCAGAGCTGTGTCAATTACGACGCTCCCCTACACTAAGGTATTCACAAGGAGACAGATAAACAGTTTTTTTATTCATCCTCCTCCTCCTCCTCCTCTTCTTCTTCCTCCTCCTCTTCCTCCTCCTCCTCTTCATCTTCTTCTTCCACCTTTTTCCGGGCAACTTTAGCGGGACCCTTGGCGCCATCAAACTTGCCTTTAGACTTATAGTCGGCAACATCCTAGAAGGAACAGGGACACATTCCAAATGAGAAGACAAGCTCTCCTGCAGCTATTTTAGCACAGGGTGAAAACATGCTATCCCTGCCTCAGAATAAGAAATCTGGAATTCAAAAACAGTACAGGTCTGCTACTTGAAGTATTTGTTTCCTGATACACATTTGGTTCTCAGCCATTCAAATTTAAAAGGTAAAGGGTGTTCAAGTAGCCTTTAAGTCATGTTATAGAACTATCAAATCCTATTCCAGTGGCATCCCGTTATCCGAATTTTTAAGCCTGCCTAAAGTTCTCCAAAATACAAAGATCAGAAGCCTGAACATCAGCACACATAGCTGATCTTAAGTGGAGATGGGCCCTCACATGCCCAGCAAAGCAGCCTTCCACCCCACAAACCCTCACATTCAGGACAGCTGACTTCTCACAGGCCAGAATACACACTCTGGCCCACCTCACCTTCTCATACTTCTCCTTCAGTTTTGCAGCCTTATTGTTGTAAGGCTGCTTTTCACTGTCACTTAAGTTATTCCACATCTCGCCCAGCTTCTTTGCCACATCTCCAATAGAAATTCCAGGGTTTGTAGATTTAATTTTGGGGCGGAATTCCGAGCAGAAAAGGAAAAATCCAGACCTTGGGGGAGAAAATTATATAAAGTAGATGAGAATCTTCAAAAAGTGAGCTTCAGTCAAACTCCCATGTTCCTGAACCCACATACTTCCTATCACTCCTCCCTAGAGTGAAGAAATGTGTAATACCATATACAGTGTTTCAAAGTTGAAGGCTATAAAATATTTAAGCTGCTTTAGAAATATATAGTGGATTCTCAGTTTCTCAGTTACTGGGCAAGGGGTAGAGAATGTACCTAAGGATCCTAAAACCCCAAACTAGGCTGTCTACTTCCCAGTGGAAAGGTCAACAGACAACTACCAAGCACACACAGCTCACCAACACCTCAGGCTCAAAGTACAGAATATTTTACAGTGGTCTCCTGACATTTTTTTAGGTAAAGTATCTCTTAAAAAATCTTTCAAGCAGAAGGAAAGCTTTTCATGGCTGTCCTGAATCCTACAGTCACTTACGGTGGCCTTTTGGGGGCATTTGGGTCCTTCTTCTTCTTGCCTCCCTTAGCTGGTCCATAATCCTTCATTTCCCGATCATAGCGTACTTTATCTGCCTTTGCCATCTCATCAAATTTAGATTTCTCTTTTGCTGACATGGTCTGCAAAGAACAGGACCTGATAAATTCCTCAATGCAGTGAACACGTACCTGTTCAGTTGTCCTATAATTAAAGTGGCAGCTGCCATAACCACTTGCAAAAGGGGATGAAAGCCTTGTAGTCTTTTGTGTGTGTGTGGGGGGGGCGGGGAGAAAACAAAATTTATTGGGAGGAAAACAAAGCTGTGGGTTAACCCCCTTTGTAGAATGTTAAACAATAAAAGCACACATACAAAATCCTAAAAACAATTAAAATGTGTCTAAGTAAAGAGGAAGAAAACAGCCACCTGGGACTACTCTAAAGGTAACTAACACCAAAGTATCAAATCCAACTAAGACTAGCTGGAAGGATACAAAGCAAAAATACCTTCCACCTTTCAGAGCACTTCTTAGAAAACTCTGCAAAATTGACTGGAACTTCTGGGTTTTTCTTCTTATGTTCCTCTCTGCATGTCTGCACAAAGAAGGCATATGCAGACATCTTGCCCTTTGGCTTCTTGGGATCACCTTTAGCCATCCTGACTGTGATGGATGAAAGAAAGAGAAACAAAGAAAAACAAATCCAATGAACAGAATAGAACTACAAGATATACCAAAGGCAGGGTAAAATTTAAATCGATATTGCTCTTAGGAGCCCCCCCCCCAAAAAAAATGCCTGATGCCACTGGCAACCAAAGACAGACTAGAGAGGAAATCAGCCTCACTGTCACTTGTCATTTAACTTTTGACCAGCATGAAGTGCACAGGTTTCTGAGTTACTTCTCAAAGAGCGATCAAGTTCTCCAAACGGAACAGACCCAAGTGGGGTGGCTCAGCTCTACATTCTGATTCAGAAATGCTATGTTTTGGAAACTGCAACCACAAAGTGGGGAGGATACATTTGTAGGTGGTACAGGCTGATGATAGAAGCTTGAAACCAATGACTTAAAGCTAGCTGGTCATCTGTTTTACTCCCATGTTAGAAACGAAAATACTGTCAGTGCTGCTAAACACAAAATCAAAGCAGAACTGTAAATAGGGAAATTTTTATATTTCAGTATTTTTGCTGCATTTTGACTTATAAAAATGGCTTTTACAAGAATGGTTATACAGCAAGTGAGCAGATACCCCTGCACTATTAGTTCAAATCTGTCTCTTCGTCATTATCTAAAGGGGGAGGGGATATGAAAAGGGCTAAGTCTTGCTCATCTATAAAGCGGAATTCATGTCCAGCCAGAAATACTTTGGAGAAAGTTTGCAAATAAAAATGCAGCTGTGGCGTGTCATAGTCCCTTTCCTACCCCCGAGCTTCCCGCCATCTTTTCCTTTTCCCACACCCAAGGTCATCATGTAAAATTAAAGCACTCCCCTTTGCGGGGACCGACCCAGGGGCTGCTTTAGGGCTCCACAGTGGCTGTGCGTGTGAGGCAGGACAGAACACAGGGGAGCCTCCGGCCGGCAGTGGGCAGCCAGACTCGGCCAGTGCTGGGTCACCTGGATGGACACCCATAATTCACCTTCCATTTTGTCAAAAGCTTCCTGATGAAAGAAAGTGCCCCTGAAATCCACCGTTGCCTCCCCCGAGGGAGGCGCGAGGCCAGGGACAGCGATGGCAGCCGCGCTCCGGAGGCACGGAGCCTGGCCGGCAGCGGCCGCAGTGATGGTGGCGCCCGCCGTGCCTGGAGCCCGGCTTTGCTAAAATGGCTGATCCGCCAGCAGCGGGCACAGGCGTCGGTGGCGAACAAAGCGGTCCGGGCCCCGCCACCGCAGCCGCCGCCCGCTCGCCGGCCCCCACCCCGCCCCGCCCCGCCCCGAGCGCCCGGGGGCGCGGGGCTGCGGGGGCCGGACCCCCCCCTCGCCGGCGCGGGGCGCATTCCTCGGGATAACAAAGGCGCCCGTGCAGCCATGACGTTCGACAGCGATGGGGCCCGCGGCAGCGCCCCTGGCCCTTCACGCCACCAGACCCTGGCCGCGGGCTCCGGGACCAAGGCCAGAGCCCGCCCGGGAGCCCTGCCGCCCGCCCAGCCCGTCTGTCCACCCCTTGCCAGGGCCCATCACGCGCCAGCCATGTTAGCGGCGGCGACGGTGGCTGCGCCGGTGCCCTACGGGCAGGCGAAGAGCGGGGGCGGCCGGCCCGCCTCCCCCCTCCCGGACCTCCGTGCGCTCCCGAGACGGCCATGTTAATGCAAAACCAGCAGTGCAATCCGCGGGCCCGCACAGTGCCCGGCAGAGCCCAGCAGCTAAGTTTGCTCACGCCGCAGCCCCCCGCGGGCACCAGCTGCCCGTAATACGCGGCGTCCGTCCCGGGCCGGGGAGAACCCTGCCCCCTTCCCAATGCCGCCTCCTGGCGCCGGGACCCGCGCCACCGGAGCCCGCAGCCGCCCCTCAGTTCGCTTTGCCTCCGCCGCCGCAGCTGCCCCAACATCTGGCTTCAGGGGGCCTGAGCCCCGCGGCGCGGCCCCGGGGGGCGGCAGCCGAGGTTGGCTCAAGGAAGGGAGCCCAGCGCAGACATTGGGGAGCTCGGGATGAAGCACTGGAAAGTTGAAACACCTGAATTGCTTCTTCCTTCCCAGTCACCTAGGTAGAAGGAAGGTGGAGGGGGCGGGAAGGGCGCGGGGAGGAGAGGCAGGAGGCGGTGGCAGCGGGACGCGCTGGCGGCTGCAGGAGCTGGAAACTTGTGCGGGCGCTGCGGTGGCGGTGGCGGCGGCGGCGGCGACGACGGCGGCTGCGGCGGGCGCGGGCGGAGGAAACGTACCTGTATTGTTCGCTAGTCTGGGCAGCGCAGGGCACGACGCGAGGCTCAGCGCTCCCCAGCCTCGCGCTAGCTGCCTCCACGAGAGCCGCCTGATTGGCCAGCGGGCTCCGCCGTTTAAAACAGCCTCCTTGCCCGGCCATTGGCTGCGGGCCTCATGCATATTAAACAGGCGCGGGCACCCATTGGGCACGGCCTCTGGGATCATTCATTCAAACAGAACTACCCGCCGGCACAGGCTGCGGAGGCAAAACAGAGCTTTGCCACCCCCCGAACCCCTTCCTCGATATGAGCTGGGACCTCAAAGGACTTTGGAGAGGTGGCCCCTCCATTCCCTTCAGCCTTGGCCTCTGGCGTGGGATGGCAAGGTCGAGTCCGGCTGCTCTGCCCTCTGCTCCCGCCGCGCTGCGACCTGGGCGCCCCCGCCTCCCGCTCCCGGCCCCCAGGTAGCCCCCAACCCCGGAAAACCTCCGGGGGCGAACGGCGAAGGTCGAGGGTCCTCCACCTCTGCCCAGTCCTGTCGCGGTTCTGCGGCCGGGGTCTTGCCCGCAGCTCTCTCCTTGATGACAGTGGAAGGCAGCTGTTCCCCTGCCAAGACCTCGGGGTTTCAGTACTGGGATCCCGCTGCCCCCACTCCCTCCCCCCGCCCCCAAATAAAAGGGACCTGACTCCTCTCCCGTGGATCCTGCTCCACTAGGCTCATTGCACTAATTGCCAGAAAGTCTGTTTGTGCCTGCAGTTGCGGAAAGAGCGAGCTAGGTGGGCTAGAGGCGGAAAACGGGAGTTTGGCAAAAGCAGAGAAATCGTGAGAAATTGTACTAGTAGTTCTGTGCTTAGGGAGTCACTTCTTCCCTGCCTCGCTTCAGGCCCACATTCCTTCTGCTCTCCTGACACCCTGGTGAAGAATAAAAGTTCTTGGAATGTACAAATGGGATTTGACTTGACTTGGCCTCCTCAGCTTTGCCACTGGCTTATGGCCTTGAGCAAGTCACGGCAATGATTTTCAAAGTGTGTGTGTGGTGGGGGAGGTAGTGTCACCTCTAAGGGATGTTTGAAAATGCCCCATGACTGGGAGTTGTTGCAGGAGTGTTAAATGTCTTGCATTGGGCAGAGTGTCATAAAGAAGAAAGAAATCTCCCACTACAAATGCTAGTGTCAGCCCTATTGAAAAATATTGGAAGACCTTTCCCTCTTTGAGCTTCCTGAAAGAAAGAATGTATGAAGGATGGGTGAGGAAAAGGTACACATTTTATGGGTTGAAATTTGGAAGAGGCACATCATGACTTCTAAGTTCCCGTTCCCAAACACTTTGAACCCCTAGATAGCCAGCTGTTTGTAATTCCCATATTTTGAAATGAGATGAGAAGGTGAGTTTTCCAAATGCTGTTTCCAGAAACTGGCTGAGTTTGAGGTGTTTGAGGGAGCTGACCCCACAAGGCAACTGCCTCCCCATCCCCACCCAGTTCTTGCCAACTCCTTTGAGCCTCCTGGGCAAGCTGTAACTGCTAGGCTTCCATCATTAGGGACCCAACTGAGACCAGAGGGCAAAATCAGTGCTGCTTTGATCGGAGCCGACTATGTACCCAATTTACAGACCCTTGGGAATGCGAATATCTTAAGGCCTTAATGGTTACCTACCTTAATGGTTACCTACCTTCTGCTCACATATCTTCACTCACAGAGAGCTTGCCACCTACCTTATGGGCTGTCTGTTCCATCTTGAGCAGTCTCTGAACCTTGGGGTCACCACCCTACACACAATCCAACCCCTCACCCTTCACAGATTTCCTGGCAGAAGAGGTCTTTTCTCCAGCCCGATAGCTCCAGCTTCTTCTACAACCAGGTCCCCAAGGTCTAACCTGCCCAGGTCTCTTCCCTCCACCCTTGTCTCTGCCCTTCCCAAAGGAGATTAGGGTATCCACATATGATCTGACCAGTACCTTCCCTCTGCCACAGTGCCCTAGCTAGGCCAGAGATGTGAATTGGGGGTCTTAGGCGGGACCCAGCCACTGCCCAGCATCCTGGCCATGCTGGGAAACTGCACTTACCAGTTGTCAGGCACCAAAGTGGAAGAATCAGAGTTTTCAGCTTCAGAGCCCACCAGGCACTATTTGGTGGGTCCCTGAGTGGATGGCGAGGGTCACAGCAGCATATATGTTCACACTCACACCAGGCACACACACAACATTCCCAGAGGCAAGAGGGGGGAAGGCCGACCCAGAGAATAAGAGTATCTCCCAGCCAGAAGAGACCGTATAGTAAGTGGTATCCAGAAACCCCCCTTAAGACCCATTCTTCCCCACCCACTGCCACAGCCCTACCCATGGGTACATACTTCGAAGGACAAATGGTTTGCGCTTATTCGAAGGAACGATTTCCATCTCTGCTCCCGAAGAAGCTCCTCCCTCCATCAAGCTGAAGCACTGCGTCTGAAGCTCAAACCTGTGGTTGCCGTCATCAGAACTTTACAGAACATGATTATGACATCACTGAGTGGGTGTGTCCTAGGCCTGAAAATGGTGGCTGTAGTTCCCTGCTCCTGCCCCCTGCAAACACATGTCACCCCAAGTCTCCATGTCTTCTTCAGGCCCAATCTCTATGATTCCTCCATCCCTTTCCCATGAACCTCGGTTAGAAGGCTCCTCACAGCCTGGTTTTCTCCTCAGTGCTGTGTGTGTGTGGCAGCACATCTAAGCAAAATCTATGGCTTAGCAGGTTCCTACCTCAAGAGAAACTCATAATTCAATTCCCTGTACATATATTTATTGAATGCCTACTAATACATAACAGAGGGGAGATGAAGTGAAGTAGGGGTGAGGCTACAAGGCAGGGGCAAGGCAGTGACTTTGGGCTCTGATTCCCTGATGTGCCTTCTTCTGTGACATCTCATCTCTTCCAGCTTCAAAGGTGATTTCACCATCTTACCCACCCCAGCCACTGTCCAGTCTGCTTGTGAGGGAGGGTATGAGTGAAGCTGGTCTGAGTATCACCACTAAAAGGCCACCTAGGGAAGGGCTAAAGGCCAGTCTGGAAGGTGAAAAAAGTGATGGAAAGTCAGGAGTGCCTGGTCAAGTTCTGGACTCAGGGGCCCCAAGGCAGGCTGCCTCCTCTGTCTGTAGCAAAGCTCAGTGCCCAATGGCTTTGGGGTATCTTCAACTGGTCGAGGCTATGGACCTCTGCCCTGGTCCTCCCTGGAAAGTACTTTAAATCACACCATTTGCCTGTGAGGCTCAATCCCAGGCCAAGCCCATCACACAGGGGAACCTCAAACCAGAACCCTTTAAACTGCTTGGCTACCTGGAGATATTAGGAAAGCATTGAAATGAAATAGGAAATAGGACAAAGAGTGACAAATATTATTTGAAGAGGTTTTTGGTTCTTGCTAGTTCAAGACCCTTCAAAAGATAAAAGGGATTCTCCTCATTCAACTAAAATGAAGTACTTGGCCTGACCAGCATGGCTCAATGGTTGAGCATCAACCTATGAACCAAGAAGACACAGCTTGATTCCCAGTTGGAGCACATGCCCAGGTTGCAGGTTTGATCCCCAATAGGGAACGTGCAGGAGGCAGCTGATCGCTATTTCTCTCTCATTGATGTTTCTATCTCCCGCTCCCTCTCCCGTCCTCTCTCTCTAAAATAAATAAAAACATATTTTAAAAACATCAGAAAACCAAAAAAAAAATAAAATAAAATAAAGAAAACAAACAAAAAAACCCCCTGAAGTCTTGGTTCTCTATACCCACCCCCCACACACATATCCATACCCATACCCACACCCACACCCACACCCATCCTTGCCCCAGGTCTTCACTTGGGTGCCCAGTACTTAAAGTTGGCATCACTAAGGCCCATATCAGCCAGTCTCCTTGAAGATCAATGAAACTGCAGCCAGGTGAATATGAGGGCAGAGTGGGGCCAGATTGTTGAATCATTTAAAATATGTTAAGGGAAATTGCTGTGAAGGTCCTACAATGAAGCACACA